GAGCGCCTGAAAGAACTGTGCCTTACGACACTAGAAAGAAGAAGGGAGAGGGGGGACATGATAGGAACGTATAAAATACTCAGAGGGATTGACAGAGTGGACATAGACGAAATGTTCACACGGAATAGTAACAGAACGAGGGGACATGGATGGAAGCTTGAAACTCAGATGAGTCACAGTGATGTTAGGAAGTTTTCTTTTAGCGTGAGAGTAGTGGGAAAATGGAATGCACTTAAGGAACAGGTTGTGAAAGCAAATACTATTCATAATTTTAAAACCAGGTATGATAGGAAAATAGGACCGGAGTCATTGCTGTAAACAACCGATGCTCGAAAGCGGGATTCAAGAGTCAATGCTCGATCCTGCAGACACAATTAGGTGAGTATACACACACACACACACACACACACACACAGGACACATACAAGACACAGTGCGAGGAGTATACATGTATGCAGAGCTTTCCAACTTCAGAATCACTGTTAAATTCATGAAATACTCATGAAAATATTCGCAACTGTTGAGAGACCAAAATTGGAAGATGCAGCGGTTGTACGGTGCCCACATCTCAAGAAGCACATTAATCAACTTGAACATTTGCAAAGACATAGAACAAAAACGTTTCCAGAACACACAAGCAAGAGTTATGAAGAGAGGCTACAGGTGTTCAATATGCCAAAGCTAGAAGATATTAGAAGAAAAGAGGGGCATATGATCACTACGTACAAGATAACTGGAATCGTCAAACATGACAAAAAGTGGAATTCTTGGAACCTACAACTTTAAGAACAAGACGTCATAGATTCGAGCTAAGGAAACAATGGTATCCATACACACACACACACACACACACACACACACACACACACACACACACACACACACACACACACATTGGGGGCCTGTGGCTGAGTGGACAGCGCTCTGCACTCATAATCCTAGGGTCCCGGTTCGATCCTCGGTGATGGCAGAAACAAATGGGCAGAGTTTCTTTCACACTGATGCGTCTGTTCACCTAGCAGTAAATAGGTACCTGGGAGTTAGACAGCTGATATGGGTTGCTTCCTGGGGATGTGTGTGTGTATTTGTTTGTGTGTGTGTGTGTGTGTGTGTGTGTGTGTGTGTGTGTGTGTGTGTGTGTGTGTGTGTGTGTGTGTGTGTGTTACAAATAGAAGAAGTAGACACAACCGAGGAAAAAATAGAATGCTTAGAAAGGCGGGGTCCAAGAGCTAATAGCTTGATTCTGCAGATACAAATAGTAAATAAATACCTACACACATACATGCATTCATACACACATTCCATTTTTCAGGTCAGAGTTCAAACATAATTTATTTACTAACCCCCAAAATGCGTTCATTTCTCCGCTGAATAGAGCCAAATGAAGCTGATTTTCCATATTCTTGAATTGATGATATCTCCTCATATCGCTCATATTGATGATATCTCCTCATATCGCTCATATTGATGATATCTCCTCATATCCCTGAAATTGATATCTCCTCATATCCCTCATATTGATATCTCCTCATATCCCTCATATTGATGACATCTCCTCATATCCCTGAAATTGATATCTCCTCCTATCTCTCAAATTGATGATATCTCCTCATATCCCTGAAATTGATATCTCCTCATATCGCTCAAATTGATGATATCTCCTCATATCCCTCAAATTGATGATATCTCCTCATATCCCTCAAATTGATATCTCCTCATATCGATGATATCACCTCATAGATATAATTATCCCATCCACGTAATCTCTTGCTTTCCATTACATGCAAAAAAAATAAAAAATACATACATTACATGCCAGCCTAGATCCATCCCCGTTCCACCTATCCATCCCATCCCCCCTTCCCTTTATCCCTTCCATCTCCGTCTATCCTTTCAAGGTCCACCTATCTAGTCCCTTTAGAATTAATAACAGCTTCTTCTCGTTCTCTAGATGTACTCCCCTAGTTGTGCTTGCGGGGGTTGAGCTTTGGCTCTTTGGTCCCGCCTCTCAACCGTCAATCAACTGGGGATTGTGGCAAGTGTACAATACGCGGGGGGGGGGGGATTGTAGTGTACAAGAGCCTATAGACGAACCATCCACCTGGTGATTGTGTAGACGGCGGCCTGGTCATTTGAAAAAGCTTTTTATGTGGGTCTCTGAACCACTCACTCTGTACACTGGTGGGCTCCGTGTATGGTTGTACAGTCATGGTTAGGTTAGGTTAAGTTAGGTTAAGTTAGATTAGGTTAAGTTAGATTAGGTTAAGTTAGATTAGGTTAAGTTAAGTTAGGTTAGGTTAAGTTAGATTAGGTTAAGTTAGATTAGGTTAAGTTAGGTTAAGTTAGGTTAGGTTAAGTTAGATTAGGTTAAGTTAGATTAGGTTAGGTTAGGTTAAGTTAGATTAGGTTAAGTTAGGTTAAGTTAGATTAGGTTAAGTTAGATTAGGTTAGGTTAAGTTAGATTAGGTTAAGTTAGGTTAAGTTAGGTTAGGTTAAGTTAGGTTAGGTTAAGTTAGGTTAAGTTAGGTTAGGTTAAGTTAGGTTAGGTTAAGTTAGGTTAGGTTAAGTTTGGTTAGGTTAAGTTAGATTAGGTTAAGTTAGATTAGGTTAAGTTAGATTAGGTTAAGTTAGGTTAGGTTAGGTTAAGTTAGGTTAGGTTAAGTTAGGTTAGGTTAAGTTAGATTAGGTTAAGTTAGGTTAAGTTAGGTTAAGTTAGGTTAAGTTAGATTAGGTTAAGTTAGGTTAGGTTAGGTTAAGTTAGATTAGGTTAAGTTAGATTAGGTTAGGTTAAGTTAGATTAGGTTAAGTTAGATTAGGTTAAGTTAGATTAGGTTAAGTTAGATTAGGTTAAGTTAGATTAGGTTAAGTTAGATTAGGTTAAGTTAGATTAGGTTAGGTTAAGTTAGGTTAGGTTAGGTTAGGTTAGGTTAAGTTAGGTTAAGTTAGGTTAGGTTAAGTTAGGTTAGGTTAAGTTAGGTTAGGTCACAGAGCGATGGTGGACTTGAGAGAGAATGAGAGCTCGGTATTTATTCCTTCACAGATCAGCGGTGACGTAGGAGGGGGGTACCTAGTTTTCTCCAGTGGTAGAGTGTATGGCATTTAATGTGGAATAGAGTCTATTCCACTTAATGCAAGTGGAAGCTGCAGCAGACACTCCCGTCCAGACCCTTCACTCGAGAGAGAGAGAGAGAGAGAGAGAGAGAGAGAGAGAGAGAGAGAGAGAGAGAGAGAGAGAGAGAGAGAGAGAGAGAAAGAGAGAGAGAAAGAGAGAGAAAGAGAGAGAGAGAGAGAGAGAAAGAGAGAGAGAGAGAAAGAGAGAGAAAGAGAGAGAGAGAAAGAGAGAGAGAGAGAGAAAGGAAAAAAAAGCTCTCTAAATCCATATTGCTATTTTATCACAGCTTCTCACTTCACTGTTATTGACACGGGAAGCTGCTGCTGCTGTTGCTGTTGCTGAAGTCTTTCGACAACGGGTAATGCAACATCATCTGTGCTTGCATGGCTATGCGCGTTCAAGCTCAGTTGCTCACTACTGGAGAATGTGTTTAACTTCTCAAATGATTCCCACAAAAACACAGTCTTTGACACGAGTTAACCCCCCACCCTCTCCCCACACCCCCCACCCTCCCCCCACACCCCCCACCCCCTCCCTCTAAAATTTTCTTCAGCCCCACTCCGATATTTTCAGATATTTTCACACATTTTCAAGCGTCACTCCCCAGCTGCATGTCTCTTTATCACCTGAATTACTATGCTACGTGACTCTTCTTCCTCGTCCCTATTCTCAGCCGTTCTCTAACACCAGGGGGGGGTCCTGTTGCTTCTAACACCAGGGGGGTCCTGTTGCTTCTAACACCAGGGGGGGGGTCCTGTTGCTTCTAACACCAGGGGGGTCCTGTTGCTTCTAACACCAGGGGGGTCCTGTTGCTTCTAACACCAGGGGGGGTCCTGTTGCTTCTAACACCAGGGGGGGGGTCCTGTTGCTTCTAACACCAGGGGGGTCCTGTTGCTTCTAACACCAGGGGGGTCCTGTTGCTTCTAACACCAGGGGGGGTCCTGTTGCTTCTAACACCAGGGGGGGTCCTGTTGCTTCAAACACCAGGGGGGGTACTGTTGCTTCTAACACCAGGGGGGGTCCTGTTGCTTCTAACACCAGGGGGTCCTGTTACTTCTAACACCAGGGGGTCCTGTTGCTTCTAACACCAGGGGGGTCCTGTTGCTTCTAACACCAGGGGGGGAGTCTTGTTGCTTCTAACACCAGGGGCGGTCCTGTTGCTTCTAACACCAGGAAGGTCCTGTTGCTTCTAACACCAGGGGAGTCCTGTTGCTTCTAACACCAGGGGGGGTCCTGTTGCTTCTAACACCAGGGGGGGGTCCTGTTGCTTCTAACACCAGGGGGTCCTGTTGCTTCTAACACCAGGGGGGGTTCTGTTGCTTCTAACACCAGGGGGGGTTCTGTTGCTTCTAACACCAGGGGGGGTCCTGTTGCTTCTAACACCAGGGGGGGTCCTGTTACTTCTAACACCAGGGGGGTCCTGTTGCTTCTAACACCAGGGGTCCTGTTGCTTCTAACACCAGGGGGGTCCTGTTGCTTCTAACACCAGGGGGGTCCTGTTGCTTCTAACACCAGGGGGGTCCTGTTGCTTCTAACACCAGGGGGGAGTCCTGTTGCTTCTAACACCAGGGGGGGTCCTGTTACTTCTAACACCAGGGGGGTCCTGTTGCTTCTAACACCAGGGGTCCTGTTGCTTCTAACACCAGGGGGGGTCCTGTTGCTTCTAACACCTGGGGGGGGGTCCTGTTGCTTTTATCCACACATCACCGCTATCCTTCCCATACCGCTATCCTGAACCCCCGTCCCTCGCTCCACCACAAGGAGTGGTGCAGCAGGCGGCGAGGTGGTCGAAGACGCCTCCATTGTGGGCTAAGATGCGTCGCTCCGTCGCGCCAGAAGTGTTCCTCCCATCACTCACACCTCCCATTATTGTCTGTCTCTCCCACAGTGCGGTTCCGCGTGGTGGCGCTGGACACGGCTGTCAAGATGGTGGAGGACTCCGTCGACGTGTTCATCCTTAACCCGCGAGGCGTCCTCGTCAGGCGCTGGCTCTCTCGGCAGGTAAGTCCTCTTCCGCCATCCAGAATGCTTATCCTGACCCCCCCTGACCCCAGGGCTATGTAGTCGTAGGGGCTTCGTGGCGCTTTGACGACTATATATATGCTTTGGCGACGTAGTCTTAGCCCGACTAAGACTACGGGCTCACCATAGCTCGTGCTACTTGGAACTTTTTGTTCCAAGTAGCGAATCTTAACATCATCATGGCACTAATCCATTTTTTCGGTCGTCAGGCGAGCCTGTTATCTTGTTATCTAGCGTGTACGGTGGTCATACAGTCACAGGAAGGGGGGGGGAAGTACACACTGAATGGTATATCCTATTTCGTGGTGTATATACACTTAGTGTGTTTGTGTTATAGTCCTGGAGTATGTTATTTGGATTAAAGTATATTTTTGGGGGGTTGGTCAGTGGTGAACCTTTTTGGATGGCCATATTGACCCTTCAGGGTTGATAGGCCTAGAGCCCAGTGCCAGTCATGGCCTTGCGTGTCTGCCAATCATCTGACTGTTCAATTGAACGTACATCCTCGGCACGCGAGCAGGTGAGAAAATTTTTATGTTTTACACCCGATATTTAAACGAATGTTCAAGGGGTGCAATACTGCTGCACAATGACAGCCCCTTTCAAAGCTGGAGAAATTGCTGACCTGGAGAGCGTGCAGCCTCCAGGTCAGCAGGCCAGGCCCGGCCAGGTCCGGCCTTTACTGCTAAAATCCACTCAGTAAAACATCTAAACTATTGGGACCGACTAAAGAGCCTAAACCTGTATTCTCTTGAGCGCAGGCGGGAGAGATACATAATAATTTACACGTGGAAAATAGTAGAGGGGCTGGTCCCAAACCTGCACACAGAAATAACATGACATGATACCAGGAGGCATGGCAGGATGTGCAGAATACCCCCGTTGAAGAGCAGAGGTGCAACAGGTACTCTGAGAGAGAACTCTATCAACATCAGAGGCCCGAGACTGTTCAACACGCTTACACTACACATAAGGGACATAACTGGCCGACCCCTCAGTGTTCAAGAGAGAACTATCAACATCAGAGGCCCGAGACTGTTCAACACGCTTCCACTACACATAAGGGACATAACTGGCCGACCCCTCACAGTGTTCAAGAGAGAACTATCAACATCAGAGGCCCGAGACTGTTCAACACGCTTCCACTACACATAAGGGGCATAACTGGCCGACCCCTCACAGTGTTCAAGAGAGAACTATCAACATCAGAGGCCCGAGACTGTTCAACACGCTTCCACTACACATAAGGGGCATAACTGGCCGACCCCTCACAGTGTTCAAGAGAGAACTATCAACATCAGAGGCCCGAGACTGTTCAACACGCTTCCACTACACATAAGGGACATAACTGGCCGACCCCTCACAGTGTTCAAGAGAGAACTATCAACATCAGAGGCCCGAGACTGTTCAACACGCTTCCACTACACATAAGGGACATAACTGGCCGACCCCTCAGTGTTCAAGAGAGAACTTGAAAAACACCTCCAAAGGATACCTGATCAACCAGGCTGTGACTCGTACGTCAGGCTGCGAGCAGCCGCGTCCAACAGCCTGGTTGACCAGTCCAGCAACCAGGAGGCCTGGTCGAGGACCGGGCCGCGGGGACGTTGAGCCCCGAAATCAACTTGAGTAAGGCCCCAGTCAACCTGCAAGTATTGAACGACTGGGTCAGCGCAATACAAACTGAGCTATTGGGCAATTATCTAGACACTGAGAGCCTTTCAGTGGTGATGGGGGAGATGTTCTGACCCCACACACACACACACACACACACACACACACACACACACACACACACACACACACACACACACACAGGTGGGTGACAGGGTGGACAAAGACAAACTCTTCAGCACGGGTGGGAGACGAACAAGGGGACACAGGTGGAAACTTAGTACCTAAATGAGCCACAGAGACGTTAGAAGGAACTCTTTCAGTGTCAGAGTGGTTGACAAATGGAATGCATTAGGCAGTGATGTGGTGGAGGCTGACTCCATACACAGTTTCAAGTGTAGATATGATAGAGCCCAATAGGCTCAGGAATCTGTACACTAGTTGATTGACAGTTGAGAGGCGGGACCAAAGAGCCAGAGCTCAACCCCGCAAGTACAACTAGATGAGTTCACACGCACTTCCCCATAATTGGAGTCCTGTAGGGGGGGGGTCATGAGGGTGCCCCTAGTGTGAGCGTCCCTCCTTGTTATCGCATGCTTGGAGGCTTCCTCACCGTAATTACCACATATCCGAGAATCATTATAGAGCGGTTAGAGCCTCACCCTCCTACACTGATCCACAACTAACACTGCTCCACCAACATAAATTGACTCACCACCTCGTGTAAACGAGGAAGGTAAACGAAACACAGGGTACAGTACACAATGAGACCTACTCATAGAAGGAAAGCAACATGTAAAAGATCTGGGAATTATGATATCTGACGACCTGACATTTAGTGAACATAACCGAGCAAATATAGCGGCGGCGGCGGCCAGGAACATGAGAGGATGGATTATGAGAACGTTCACATCCAGAGACCCCACAACAATGATAATACTATTTAAATCACTGATGCTGTCCCGTCTTGAGTATTGCTCGGTACTCGCTTCCCCTCTCAGAGCATCAGAGATCTCTGAACCACAGACAGATGGAAGATGCTGGAGAAACCAGCAAAATGAAGCCTCGTGGAACATTTACAAAATTTTTGTCTCTCAAAAAAAGGGTCCAAAGGTCCAAGTGCTGAACAAGGAAAGATAAAACCTAACTTACCTGCTCAAGTTAGTTAAGACGTGCTGATAAGACGGAGGAGAGAAGGGTTTCACTAATGTGCAGCACCCACTAGGCTCTCATACACACACTTGAGGACAAAGCTGGTGTACATCTAGACAAGGGTTGGTAGGGATGAACTGTCGAGAGTGGAGGAGTTCTGGTACCAGTACATCGTACTCCTAATGTACGGTAACAACATGTGAAATGAGCTAGATATTGAGTCCCTTTTTTAAGGGGGAGGAGGGGAGGCAGAGGATTAAACAATTAACGTAAAAACATTCCTGTTCCTTCCCACTCATTTCTCCCTTTCCCATATTATTTCTCATACTTTTTACCCTTTTATCTCTTTTCCCCTACCATCCTTCTACTTTCCTGCCTCCTCCTCCAAAAGTCCCCTTCAACACTTCGTTGCTGTTCCACTCACCCACTGTAGGTGTACACTACTGTACCCAATTTGCCATATAGGGTAAAATATACCCTATCAACCACCAAATGTGCTGCCCACTAGGTGGGAACTGCCTAAAGTCACATCCAGGGTAAACACATTCCGTAATGTTGACAATTTTGCCCATCAATCACACAAAAGAACAAAAAGAACGGAAAACAATAACACTGATGTAATTGCAATAGTAGAAACTAAAATAACAAATATGATTGCAAATGAAATTTGTCGTATTTGTGTCTCACTAACTCATTCTCTCTCTCTCTCCTCACAGTGCCGGGAAGGCCCAGTGACTTTGGAGTTTGTCTTGAGTGAGGAACCGGATTATGGAAGCTGGACCATCCGCGTAGAGGCGAGTAACTCCTTCACACAACACATCTTCAGTGTCGAGGAGTTTCATCAGCCGAGGTTCGAGGTGAGTATAGGAGTCTGATATCACACACACACACACACACACACACACACACACACACACACACACACACACACACACACACACACACACACACACACACACATACACACACGGAAATATATGTTGATAGTGTGTCACTATCAACTATATATAAACTTTATTAATAACAGAAGCAACAATAGGTGTCACAATGAAAGAAGCAGTAAAGTGTAATATCACTGGAGATATTAATGGTAAGCTGACCAGACCACACACTAGAAGTTGAAGGGACGACGACGTTTCGGTCCGTCCTGGACCATTCTCAAGTCGATTGTGACCATTCACAATATTCAGCCACGTTATTGTGACTCATCGCCTGCATATTAATGGTAATTAGCCCCCGAATGACTGGTTACCTTGGAGTTACCTTGGAGTTGTTCCGGGGCTTAGCGTCCCCCGCGGCCCGGTCGTCGACCAGGGCCTCCTGGTTGCTGGACTGGTCATCCAGGCTGTTTGACGCGGCTGCTCGCAGCCTGACGTATGAATCACAGCCTGGTTGATCAGGTATCCTCCCAGATAGAAACAGTGATGGGTCACTAATGACCTCACATGAGGGCGGCGTATGACCTTTGGTGCTATTTGTTTTTTTTCGATTTTCTATGAGTTCTTTTCAGAGGAACTGTAGTGCATGAACTCACAACAGCGCACGCACTCAAACACAATGTGTGTGTGTGTGTGTGTGTGTGTGTGTGTGTGTGTGTGTGTGTGTGTAGGAGGGGGGGGGGGGCGGAAGAAATGCCTCGCGGCTGAGTGGACAGCATTCGGGGGATCGTAGTCCTAAGGGCCCAGGTTAGATTCCCGGCCGAGGCAGAAACAAATGGGTAGACTTTCTTTCGCCCTGGTGCTCCTGTTCACCTAGCAGTGAATAGGTACCTGGGAGTTAGACAGCTGCTACGGGCTGCTTCCTGGGGGATGTGTGTGTGTGTGTTAGAGAGAAATATATAAAGTAGACATAATACAGTAAAAATGGAATGGTTTGAAAGGCAGGGTCCAAGAGCTAATAGCTCGATTCTGTACATACAAATGGTATATACAAATCGTAAATATACACGAACACAGACACACACACACGCACACACACACACACACTGGAGTAATGTTCTTGAAAATAGCTACTAACGTTTAAATCAGTTAAGTGTAAAGTAATGAAAAATAGGCGAAAGGAGCAAAAAGGCTGAACACAAGGTACCATCTGGGAGGTGAAATACTGCCACTGTCAAAACAGAGAGAAAGATCTAGGAGTTGATGTCACACCAAACCTGTCGTCCCCCCCCCCCCCCCTGTGACGGGTCTTGGCCCCCAATTATATATTCCAACAGAACCGCCAATTTCCACTCTGCCTGAACTTCAAGAGGAGTGGATGTCCCTCTAGAGTGCTCGACAGTGTCCGCCCTGGAGTGCAACTTATTATACAAAGTATACAAAATGATTTGTATACTCGCAACAGGCTACGTCGGTGGCTGAGCGGAGAGTACACTAGACGCATGATCCTGTGGTCCCGGGTTCGATCCCGGGCGCCGGCGAGAAACAATGGGCAGAGTTTCTTTCACCCTATGCCTCCTGTTACTTAGCAGTAGAATAGGTACCTGGGAGTTAGTCAGCTGTCACGGGCTGCTGACTTCTTACATTCATCATTCATTCTTGCACTCTGACACACTGCCTGCCACCCTGCCTGACACCCTGCCTGCCACCCTGCCTGACACCCTGCCTGCCACCCTGCCTGACACCCTGCCTGCCACTCTGCCTGACACCCTGCCTGACACCCTGCCTGACACCCTGCCTGACACTCTCGTTCAGTAATTAACCAAGCCCGTACAACTGCGTCAGGTGGTTCGCCCTCTGACATTCTCGCCTGCACATGTTGCTACTTGCAATTCCTTACATTGGTGAAACGGTCCACAGCAGTGGACCAGAGGGGACGGGCCACAGCAGTGGACCAGAGGGATGGACCACAGCAGTGGACCAGAGGAACGGACCACAGCAGTGGACCAGAGGAACGGACCACAGCAGTGGACCACAGGAACGGACCACAGCAGTGGACCACAGGAACGGACCACAGCAGTGGACCACAGGAACGGACCACAGCAGTGGACCACAGGAACGGACCACAGCAGTGGACCACAGGAACGGACCACAGCAGTGGACCACAGGAACGGACCACAGCAATGGACCACAGGAACGGACCACAACAGTAGACCACAGGAACGGACCACAGGAAGGCTCCAGTGGTGCCGTAGGATGGGACATTTCTCTTCCACTCATTCCCCCCTTTCCAGAAAAAGAAATGAATATCTGCCGTTTGCCACAGGCGCTGGAAGAGGGGACATCAATGCCTGGAATTGAATTACTTTCACCGGTGAGCCGTAAACCAACTTCGGGTATTACAACCCCACAGACGGAAAATATTAAAATTCTATGTACCAGTTTCCAGGATTCACATCTTCCATTATCAGACTATCCTGGAAGATGATCTCCAGGCACCTGCAGACTCGCTGGAATGTGAGGGAATAATTTAATCTGGAATCTTGAAGCCTTCATCAAGAATTCTCTCCAAGAGATGTAAAAATTTGAGGTCATAGATGATGAAGTCTTCGTTTTTCCAGTGGAATGATTGCAGGTTCCTGGAGTGCCTGGAACCTGGATTGTAGGTTTCAAGAGTACCCTGGAACCTGGATTGCAGGTTTCAGTACTTGGAACCTAGATTGCAGGTTCCAAGAGTACCTAGAACCTGGATTGCAGGTTCCAGGAGTACCTAGAACCTGGATTGCAAGTTCCAGGAGTACTTGGAACCTGGATTGCAGGTTCCAGGAGTACCCTGGAACCTGGATTGTAGGTTTCAGGAGTACCCTGGAACCTGGATTGCAGGTTCCAGGAGTACTTGGAACCTGGATTGCAGGTTCCAGGAGTACTTGGAACCTGGATTGCAGGTTCCAGGAGTACCTAGAACCTGGATTGCAAGTTCCAGGAGTACTTGGAACCTGGATTGCAGGTTCCAGGAGTACCCTGGAACCTGGATTGTAGGTTTCAAGAGTACCCTGGAACCTGGATTGCAGGTTTCAGTACTTGGAACCTAGATTGCAGGTTCCAAGAGTACCTAGAACCTGGATTGCAGGTTCCAGGAGTACCTAGAACCTGGATTGCAAGTTCCAGGAGTACTTGGAACCTGGATTGCAGGTTCCAGGAGTACCCTGGAACCTGGATTGTAGGTTTCAGGAGTACCCTGGAACCTGGATTGCAGGTTCCAGGAGTACTTGGAACCTGGATTGCAGGTTCCAGGAGTACCCTGGAACCTGAACTGCAGGTTCCAGGGCTGAAATATATTTCATTCATTTACCTCAAGCTGTATTACTTTATGCTTTGAGACCACCAGTATGATCATTATGCTAAAGTTATTCGTTGTATAACAAGTTCTAGAGTAACAGTCTCTCTGTGGTATAACAAATTATATAATAGTACCTGGATTGTGCCTGGATGGGGTTCTGCGAGTTCTTCTACTCTCCAAATGTCACTTGTGAGAGGATCTTAGGGAATAGCTGGTCGTTGAGGTTGACCTAGGGGTTTGACAGGTCCTGGAGGGTGACCTGAGGGTTTGACAGGTCCTGGAGGGTGACCTAAGGGTTTGACAGGTCCTGGAGGGTGACCTAAGGGTTTGACAGGTCCTGGAGGGTGACCTAAGGGTTTGACAGGTCCTGGAGGGTGACCTAAGGGTTTGACAGGTCCTGGAGGGTGACCTAAGGGTTTGACAGGTCCTGGAGGGTGACCTAAGGGTTTGACAGGTCCTGGAGGGTGACCTAAGGGTTTGACAGGTCCTGGAGGGTGACCTAAGGGTTTGACAGGTCCTGGAGGGTGACCTAAGGGTTTGACTGGTCCTGGAGGGTGACCTAAGGGTTTGACAGGTCCTGGAGGGTGACCTAAGGGTTTGACAGGTCCTGGAGGGTGACCTAAGGGTTTGACAGGTCCTGGAGGGTGACCTAAGGGTTTGACAGGTCCTGGAGAGTGACTTGAGAGCATGGAAAAAGGAGAAAAATCAGGTGTCCTCGGAAGCCAGGAACGATGACAGTGCCAGAAGCCGGATACCACACTACTCTCTCTTTGTTTACAGTCTTAGTCTTTGCAAGCACTTACAAACCTGGGGCCAAATTCACGAAGCAGTTACGCAAGCACTTACGAACCTGAGCCCAGATTCACGAAGCAGTTACGCAAGCACTTACGAACCTGGGGCCAAATTCACGAAGCAGTTACGCAAGCACTTACGAACCTGAGCCCAGATTCACGAAGCAGTTACGCAAACACTTACAAACCTGTACATCTTTTCTAAATCTTTGGCGGCTTTGTTTACAATTATTAAACGGTTAATGAGCTCCGAAGCACCAGGAGGCTGTTTATAACAATAGCAACAGTTGATTGTGAAGTTCTCATGCTTGCAAACTGTTTAATAAATGTAACCAAAGCCGTCAAAGATTGAGGAAAGATGTACACGTTCGTAAGTGCTTGCGTAACTGCTTCGTGAATCTGGCCCCAGGAACGCTTGAAATTCCCGCCAAGCAGAATAGTAGAGAGGTCGACGTCACACGCACCCCTATCCTGAGTGGCGCTCACACTGACGCAATAAGGGAGGTCAAGTGTCCGGGAGGTCACACCCTCGAGGGACCTGTGTTCGTGACCCCGGGTCAAGGTCCAACAGGAAGCACCCGCGACCAACCGGGTTGTAATGGACACGTGGGCCGGCCGGGTGCGACAAACAACAGTCCGTTCGATCAAGTTATCGCAAGGCAAACCCCAGGCCGCACTTGGGTTGAACTCTCGGGATCCGCTACAGGTAAACTACAGTACAAGATTGGAGCTTGCGGCAAAGTTAACTCCTGCACTGTTTGGTGGAGTCTCGCAATGAGGCGGAGGAGAGGGAGGAGGGGGGAGGGAGGGGGGGGGGGGAGGGAGGGAGAGGCGGAGGAAGGGGGGAG